GGGCGAGGTGAGCGCGGCCGCGCCGCGGGGCGCCCCGGCTGCCGGCCAGCCCGCCCGATCCGCCCGTCTCCCTGTGCTTTTCCCCGCAGAGACCCTACGTTTGCCCCTACGAAGGCTGCGGTAAAGGTTTCACTCGGGACTTCCACCGCACTCGACACTTGCTCACGCACACGGGTGAAAAACCCTTCGAGTAAGGACAGATTTTTTTTTTTTCCCCCTCCCCGCCCCCCCCCTTTCTTTCTTACCCTGATTCTTAAAATATGTCGCTCTTGCCCCGGTAGAAACAAAGGTGAGTTAAAATTCGTGCCCCCAGGCCGTCGGTAAAGGTTTCACTCGGGACTTCCACCGCACTCGACACTTGCTCACGCACACGGGTGAAAAACCCTTCGAGTAAGGACAGATTTTTTTTTTTTCCCCCTCCCCGCCCCCCCCCTTTCTTTCTTACCCTGATTCTTAAAATATGTCGCTCTTGCCCCGGTAGAAACAAAGGTGAGTTAAAATTCGTGCCCCCAGGCCGTGCAGCAGCACTTTGGTACCCGGAATGCCTGGGTACCGCTTTGCACCTCGGCTGGGACCTGGGGAATCTTCTTACGTTCAAAACCTTGGATCTGGCAGTGACCCAAATCACATGGTTAAAGTAGCGGGCGAAGCTCTCCCTATAACTCAAAGTATAAGGAGAACAGTTATATCAGTAAGCACTGGACAGTTGTATGTCATGGATCAGAGGCCAGGAATTCTTCTGTATTTTATTAAAACTCTGTGTTCTGACATGTTTTCCCAGTAGCTTTTGATAGTAACTTAACGTCTGCCTTATCTTACCTTTAAACTTTTTTTTTTTTTTCCTATCTGTGTAGTAAGCTTTGGCTCTTCTGTGTGTGGAGCTCTTGTCCAATAATCTATGTGTCTGCTTGGGAAACAAACTGCTGTTTGAAATGATAATATAATAAGAACATACAGCTTATTTGCAGGTGCACGGCTGAGGGATGTCATCAGAAATTTGGAACAAAATCAAACTTAAAGAAGCATGTTGAACGCAAGCACGAGAATCAACAAAAGCAATATGTGGTGAGTACTTTATCTTTCATACTGCAAAATGAAAGCTATGCCAGCTCCACTTCATGCACATTGTGAAATTATGATGCTGTGTTTGTGTGAGTGCTGTGGATTCGGAAATCAAATTCAGTTCCCTTTTTTTGGCCTCTAATGATAACTTAATTTCCTAAACAGTGCGACTTTGAAGGCTGTAGCAAGTCTTTTAGGAAACATCAACAACTTAAAGTTCATCAGTGCCAACACACCAATGAACCTCCCTTCAAGTAGGTGGATAATTTTAATAATGAACTGTGGCAATTTTACTTAAAAGCTGTAGATGGCAACACGTGCCCTCTCTCAGCCTTTGCTGTGGCATTTGAAACCTGAAACAAATTTATGTGAATTTGTGGACGTGGATGCAAGTACCTTTACTGTGCTGTTGTGCAGTAGAGCCTGTGTGAATAACAGTCCTGTTACACTGTCACGTTGGAGCTGCAGGCATTTCTGTAGCTTAGAGGCTCCCAGGGAAAGGAAAAAATGTTCACTTGGACACAGTGTGAAGCGTAAGCATAACTCGTGCATGGTAATGAAATACAGACTCTGTATTTCACTCTGTTCCCCAGCAGAAAGCAGTGGCTTAGCTAGCACGGAGCTAAGCAGCGGTTTTAAAGAAAAGGTGAGTGAGGCTTGGCTGGACTTGCTTCGCTGTCTGAGAAGTGGTGCATGGCAGCCCCTGCTGCTGTGGCAGTGGAGGCCTTATGGAAGCCAAGCTGTTGTTTGGTTCCTATAGATGGGCTTTCCATGAGTGAGGGTCACCCTCATGGGTAGGTCACACTCATGGAAACTCTTGGCTTTCAGTGCTCCGTCTCTGTCCTCTACAGACCCAGCTGCTTGGGGAGGATGCGAGGGCCGATTCAGTAGCAAAACGGATCAGATCTCTACCAGAACAGATCTCTAGGCAAAGGAGACTGGGGCTATTTTGCCCACTTTCATGTTGCGTTTGACTTACTGAAGAAAAAACATGGGGATGCAGTGTGTGTGTGTGGGAAAACTAAACCAATGTTAATTAATTAATACCTAGATGCAATCATGAGGGATGTGGAAAACACTTCACTACTCCAAGTAGACTAAAGCAGCATGAGAAGATACATGAAGGTAACATTTTTCTTTTTTCTTCAGTTATATTTCAACTAAGGAAAAATGACTTCTTCCAGTGTGGAGAGTGTGCACAGATGTTTAACAGATGTGAAAATAGACCGAGTCTCGTGATGCAGACGGACAGAACAAGAGCAGCTGCTTTGAGGAGGCAGCTGCAGTACCGTTGTGGGCACGACCTCATTCTGGGAGGCTGAGCAGAGCTCAGGACCCCTTCTGGTTGTACTTTTCCAGTACACTTCCCTCTCAGTAACTCCTCTTCTGGAGAGAAGATGGGATTGAGGTTAAGGCAGTAGGCTAGGCCTCCAGAGATAAGGATCACTTTCCAGTTCACAACCTTCAAGCAAACTGTGCACACTGAATTTTTAACATTATGGATGTATCTACATGAAAAGTATTTAGGTGGGGTTGATGGCAGGTGGGCACATATGTGTTTGAGCTAATCCTGAAAAAAATGGATGTGGTGTAGCAGTCTTTGTGACAGTTATCTTGCTTTCCAGCCCTAGGAAAAAGAAATAAGGGACTAGGAAGAGCATCTTGGGTGTTGTGTTTAGGTTCCCTCCTTAAGCTAGCGTTGTTCATAGCTGGAAAGGACCCCTGACGATTGTGTGGTCCAACGCCCTGCTCCAGGCAGGGTCAGTTAAGGTTGCTCCTGGCTGTGTCCAGTCAAGTTACTAATTTCTCCAGGGTTAGGGACCCCAGCGTGGTTTCTGGAACAGCATGAGAGGAGGTGAGAATCACTCTCCTTTCATTTTCACATGCTGAACAAGTCAGCCATTAAAGCCTGAAATTTAGTTGTGTAAAACTTGGTTTGTCACAGCCTTTGAGATTGTAAACGTCTGTCATGTCTCTTAACAGGCTACGCATGCAAGAAAGAAAACTGCTCATTTACAGGAAAAACTTGGACAGAATTTCTAAAACATAACAGGGAAAGTCATACAGGTAAACGCTAAACACTTCAGTAAGCAGAATTTACTTAACTTTTGATGTAGTATTGTTACAAATAGGAAACCAAATGCTAATTTCAAGAGGATTGTTGCTTGTGATTACATCTAGACAAACTCTGTTTCCAGCACCTAACAGGCAAAACTGTTGCCATTCTAGCTAGACTTTTAAATGGTTAAACTACTCATTGTCCTATCTGGGTGATTCATACTGTATTATTCTGTTCCTACTTTCAGAATTTTCTGCAGTTCATGTGAATTTTAGCTTTGTTTTGGAAGATTGCTACTTCGCTTCTGAATTCCTCTGCAAAGCTATTAACTTCCATTCTGCCTGTTTCTTTTCCACTCAGAGCCAATAGTTTGTGGTGAGTGTCACAAAACTTTTAAACGCAAAGATTATCTCAAGCAGCATCAAAAAACCCACGCCGTGGAGAGGGAGGTTTGGCGATGCCCGAGAGAAGGATGCGGGAGAACCTACACAACTCTGTTTAACCTTCAAAGCCATATTCTTTCCTTCCATGAAGAGAAAAAGCCATTCTCTTGTGATTACCCAGGTTGTGAAAAGGTGTTTGCAATGAAGGTATGCATTTTTTTTTTTACAATCATTTTTTTTTAACCCAAATCACACATGATGAATGCCCAACTCTTTTTTCTTCTTTGCATCTTGTAGCAGAGCCTGGCAAGGCACACCATTGTACATGACCCAGAGAAGAGAAAGCTGAACTTAAAAGTAAGCCCCATGCTAGAGGAAATCCTCTTAGCTATTCATTTCACTTCACAGAGGAAGATACAATGTTAAAGGTTTTAAAATTTGACTTCAGACTGAAAAACAGGCCAGCTATCTCTTTAATTTGGGGGGGGATCCTACTTTCTGAAACGTTAAATAATGAAGTACGGGTATTTTCATTGATAATCTATGGAGCAAAACCTACTCATATATGTTAGGTTCCTAATGCTGGATTTAATTCTCACAGAAAAAGCGGTCCCGTCCTAAGAGGAGCTTAGCCTCTCGCCTGAGTGGATACATTCCTCCTAAAACACAGCCAGGAAAGGCTGCAGTTTTGACAGAAAGCACAACAATGGATAAGCCCCTGGAAAATGAAATACCAGCTGTTGAAATTCTGACTCTGCAGTAAGGGTTAATTGACACAACTTTATGGAATGACCAATCCAGAGCTTGACAATAAATTACATGTGTTTTTTTATTAAGAAATTAATACTGTTCACACCTACTCATTAAAGTTACTGATTCAACTCACTTGATTTTGGAGCTTCATTCTCATCTCTGTTTGCTACAGGGACAGAATTTTCCATCTTCTGTTTTTCCAGTTTGTGGAGTGCTTGCAACTCCTTTTCAGACATATGCCTCAAAATACAGGTACTCACTCCCTCTCTAACAGCCTTTGGCTTGGAAAGGTAAGTGGCTTTCTCGGACAGATTCTTCAAAATCTGATCAAAAACTATGAACTGAAAGAAGGAAAAAAAAAAACAGGGCTAGATGCACAAACACCACAGGTAGAAAAAATATTTCAAGCTGTTCTGTACTTGTATATCCTCCCCGTGATTCTGCTGTGGCCTAAAGCCAGCTAGATCTCTCCTAGTTCTGCCTTAAGAGGTTCAAGCTGTCTTGTCCTAACAATTTTTTCTTTACTTGTAATTTAGTATAGAAAAGTAATTTAACCTTTTCCTGACTTTTAGGTTAATTTTCTGACTCACTGCTGTTTAAATGCTTTAGTGAAAGTGCTAACAACCCTGCATCCCACTCCCCTTCTTTTTCAGTAGAATCATTCATATTATTGGTCTCTTCCCATCTACTGGGAAATACTGTTCTAAAATTTAGCAGAAAATGATAGGACTGAGGTGTCTGAAGCAGTGTGTTCAAAAGGGGAAAAAAGAAATGAATACTCAACACATTATTATTCTCTTAATTATGAATTAAAGGAAATCTACACCTGGACTGTAGCATGGAAATGCTCTGCTCCCTCCCCTATCCAGTTCCTCCTCCCCTTCCTCATTGATTCAACTTTTAACAGAACAATTTTGTTCCCTTCATACAAAGTGACACTGCAAATCTGTTGTGGCAATTTAGTAGAATCAAGAAAAAAACTAATTCACTGCAACAAGAACATATTAAAAGAACAAAAAAGGGACTTCATACAGAGAATTTTTAGATATTTGTGTAAGTGACAAGACAAAAATCAAGGCAATGGAAATACTAACCTAGCCAACAACTCTTTAATGTCCGTATAGATACGTTCACTTTGATAGTCTTGGAATGCAGTATATTGGCAGCTTTCAGCAAAACACTGGGAAATTAACCTATGTCCTAATTGCACAGATGTATTTCCAAAGGAACAGTTAGGTTATTTAAAAAAAAAAACAAACTGTGTTTTACCTGGATAATTTTAGCCTTACTGCTACCCTTTAAAACCGTGACTTCTCCAGTGAGCAGGAGGTGGAGATGGCAGAGTTGTGTCAACCCAGTTAATAAGCTGGTGCAGGGAAGGAGCAGGGACTTGGCTGTCAAAGCCAACAGCTTTAACTGCAGTCCTAAGCTCAAGCTACTCAGACTGTCTGGCTGCTTTTCCAGAACTGCAGTGTTTGAACAGATACAAGTAGGGCAACCATTATTTTCACTGGACCTAGACCTTCAGCCATTTTAGCAGCAAGGGATACATTAAAAGTTAAGCAGTATTATCTGAGGAAAGTTAACGTAGGGCACCTCCTTAGTGAGTTTGACCGGTACAGCCCCGAGTTCACTTACCATGTCTGCAGTGCTGTCTTTTGCTTGTCGGATGGTGACTTTAACATGGTATTTCTTCTCAATCCACTGTCCTATCTGCTTAGTCTTGGTCTCTAGGTCATTCCTGGCAATAGTTGAAGAAAAGGATAACTCCTTCTGAACCTGCCCTGTTTAAAACAGAACTAGAACAGTGTTGGTTTAACATCTGACAAACTTTTTCTTTTTTTCAAATAGCCAATGGTACTTTGCCTCCTCACCTCCCTTCCTCAGTGCTCTCTCATACCACAGAGCACCCCAAGCTCACCTTAGAAGGTGGCTAACTGGCTTTTTGCTCTCATTGCCACAACTAAAAACCTGACTGTTTGAGGCACAGAGGGAGGTTCCTTCAGGGGGACAAAGTTTGAAGTATTTTTATTTTAATTGCAAATTTGTTCATATCACCCCTAATGCAGGTCTAACAAGGATGAACAGGTATAAGCACCCTTATGGATCTGCACTTAAGAATAGTGCATGAATTCTTAAATTTTGTACATAATGTAGCTAAATGGGAAAGCTTTAATATTAAATCTCAGGCAGGTTGTCTTTGGGCATGGTGAATGCAGTATTCAGTTGGCAATAACATGCCATATATTGAAACAAGCTGTGGTCTACCCCTCTTCAAGCAGAAGTACTTTAGAAGCAGTTAGTGGTTAAGTAATCTTAGTGTGGGTTCTTGAACAGAAAACCCACTACCCAGTAGCTCTCTTCTGAAACCAGAACTCTAGACAAAGCCCAGAGACCGTACGTAGCCTGAGGACAAGACAGGAGGATACAGGGTCAGGTGCCTTTTCTAAATATTCCTTGCCAAACTCTGAATTTGTTAAATTATCAGAGCAGGGTGATTTAAGAAATTAAACTAAAAAATGTGTAATATTGAAAAAAAATGTTCTACTCCATAAAAGAACAGACCTGCCCAGAGCACTATAAATGAGCAGCTGTTAAGGGCTTCAAATTTCTTCCACCTACCTGGGCTGTTGCATGACTGCTGTTGATAAAATATAATTTTTGTGTATCTAATGTTGCAAAGTTTATAAAAACTGCCTGTCATGTATGCTTTAATAAAAGAATATAAATTTAGCGCATCTCACAGAACCAAAATCTAATTATATTATCTTAAATAAAAATAGATTAAAAACAAACAAACAAAACAGCAGATGCTAAAATAGTAAATCCTGAGAGAGCAAGAGAAAGCTTCTGTGTGGAAGACTCAACTAATCCACAATTTTATTTTCACCACGGCAAAGCCTTAATAGCATAGACAGCAATGACGTTGCTTTGGGCTTACACAAATGCAAGTAAGAGGATTTAATCTGCTGAAACCACTTTTAATGCAGCATTTTTCAGAGTGTGTTACAATATTAACAATGCACATACCTGTTTTAGGACTTGCTTTTTTCTTCTCTGCTCGTCTAAGCTGCTCTTCATGAATCTGCTTCCCAGTCATCAGTCTGTACACAGGGGGCTCCGCGTTCTCACGAAGCAGAACCAGCTTCAGGTTATGCTGATCCATAAGTTTGAGTGCCTCTGCTCGGTGCATGTTTCCCAAGCTCTCTCCATTCTCGTTGATTACATGCAAAATCCGATATGGAATTCTCCTCCCAACGCTTCCAAATGCTGCCTTCCTTTTTGGGTCTGTGTCAGATTTTACAGCTGTACAAAATGGTTTTGTAGGTCCAAACACCGTTGGCTTTGTAGAATCAGGCACCACCACGGAGGGTCCAGAAAAGATTCTCCTTTGTGTAGTCTCTGCTAAGATGGTGCCACAGAGGCTTCTTGTGAATCTGTTCTCGTTTCTGGTGGCTGGACGTAAAAGTTTCATCAGACAAAAGGCAGTCATCCCGAGGAAGCTGCGGAAAGGAAAAGTGAGTTACCTCTATCAGCTCATTTCTTCTAGCCATAATTATTACAAAGACTTGACTCCACTACAGAAAAGCCCAGTCCTTAAAGCTACTCTATTGCTAGCCAAAAAGATGTACTGAAAAGTATATGGGCTGAGCGGTCATCAGTATTTTTTACGATAGTAAGGAGAGCTTTAGCCCAGAGAGAAGTATCTGGCAGTGGAATAAAATGTAACAAGAGTTGATGTTGTCTTCAGTAGTTTATAATTTGAGCCTGGACTCCTTCAGAGAATCCACAACTTCTGCTTCAGTTTTTCCTCCTAAGAGCATCTTCTCTGGCACAGCTTGTGGTGCAGGTAGGGAGAGATAAACCAGTGGGTGAGGGGGGGGGATTTGCTGCCAGACGGACAGGCACGTCACACAAAGTCACAGATTTTGTGAAGAAAAACACCTGCACTCCGAATATAACCCTAGAGTTTTCTCCCTGTTTCTGTCCTCTCCTGTGGAGGCTGCTTCACTCGGGCGCGCGGATCCGGATCCGCCCTGGCCGCTCGGCGAGCGAAGCCGCTGCAGCACCAACAGCTCCAGCCCCTCTCGGCCCCGGGTCGGAAGGGCTGTCCATGCCTCAGCCACACAGAGCCAAACCCCCGAGCGAAACCTTTGCCTTCGTATTAAAATGCAACTACTACTGTGCTGGAAAATACTCACTGTCGTCCGTAGCTTGCACGCAGCTTGCTTCGCACAGCGCTGACCCTAAACAGTGTCATTTTTCCTCAAACTACAACTTTCTCAAATGTCACTTCAGGTAGGTAGTCCAGCTGTCTGCTTTTATGTGGATTATGTATCAGTGTTATTTCAGTAACCAAAAAACCTTTCTGCTGTCTCTACACAGAAAGAAATTCCAGATTCACCCAGGCTTAAGAGCTGACATGTCTTAATTTTAATCTTATTTTCTGAAATTTAAAATACTTTTTTCAAATTTTCAAACGTGAAATTAAGAGGCATATTCTTATTTGCAATAAGCTTTTTTTTTTCCTCCCTCCATTTTTCAAAACTATTTAGGTTTCTTACACTGTGTACAACTATACCACACTGTTTGGAAACTGCTGTTGCAGAAATTTCACCAAAACCATTTGATAAAAACCCAGATATTGATGGTTTTTCTTCTGCTAGTATGTTATTGAAAAAAAAAGGTGGCAGAAAGAAAATAAAAGCATAGGTAAGACTTTTCAGCAACAGATTAACATGCCTAATACCCTCCAACTTGCAAAATAAAATTTAAATAAATTATTATACAGAAAGCTACCTGGCCCAGTGGCCATGGAGTTGTGTACCTCCAAAACAGGCACGGAAATAGCTGATAGTTGAAGGCCAGTGAAATTGCTCTTTGAGACATTTTTTTTCCTTTCGTGTTTTTTCCTCTATTCCTCCCTGCTTTATGGAACCCCCCTGGCAATTTTGGTTACCTTACTTGTTCTGAGACCACAAAAATAACTCTCCTTTAACAAGGACCTTTAACCGCGGAGTATTATCTTCAGCTTTGGTATTCTGGGTTTAAAATGCAGCAAGTAGAGAGAAAGCTAAAGGTGATCCCGAAAACTGTGAGCACGTCTTACCAAATAATCTTTCAAGAGCTGCTTGTTTTGCTTTGGAAGGAATATTGTATTTTACACACATATATACATGCATACACACACATATATAAATATGTGTAAACATGGATACATGTGCCTTTATATATATATATATATATATATGCAATGTGTGTGTGTGTATGCACATATATATATATATACATGTGTATATATATATATATACTTGCAGAAGCTGCAAACAATCCAGACTGTTTGTAGGTAAAAGCAGTATTGGCACAGGAACAAATGCAGCAGCCTGCCCACAAATACATTTAATTGGGTGAATTTTGGAGCCTGGGACAGGGTTCCACTTTCAGCAATAGGGTGAAGCCAACGCACAGTATTTTTAGCACTGAGTTAGTCCATAAATAGGGCTGTGAGTTGGCTACGTGCTCCGGCAGGACCCTGAGCTCTGCCAGCCGGGGGGAACCTGGATCACACCGGGACTTTGTACCCGAGCTTCAAAAGCAGCTGGTAGAGCTGCACCCTGAGGGACGGTGCGACTGTGCGTGATCGCAGTGACTATGTGTGGTTGTGTGGCCACCCGGGTGACTGCGAGGCTGGGTGTGCACATGTCAGTGTGACCATATGTGTACAGGGTGACCATGTGTGCCTGACGCGTGTGGGCGACTGTGTGCGAGTTCTTCATGGGGGGTAAGGCTGTGGGAAAGGGTGACTGTGTGTGTATGCGAGTGTGCGTCTGTGCGCCTGTACTGTGTGAGCTGGAGCCTGTGGGGGTGGGTGATCCCGTTCAGGGGAGGGTCTGTGGACCTGTGTGTGTTAGGGGTGACCGTGTGGGTGTGTGTGTGTGCAGCTACCTGACCTAGTGTGTCAAGCTGACCAGGTGTGTGTTTGGTATGGGTGACTGTGAGTGTGTATGGGTGTGCCTGTGTGCACCGGTGTGCATGTGGCAAGGGGTGACTGTATGTGACCTTGACAGTGCCTGTGCAACCCAGGCTGTGTGACTGTGCACGTATGTGTGCAAAGATGGTGTCTACGTGGCCTGGTGTGTGTGTGCGTGACTGTGCACGTGTGTGTGTGTACATGGTGTCTGTGTAACTTAGTGTGTGTGTTTGTGGGGGAAGCCAATTCTGTGTGAAGGACAGTGTGACCTGTGTGTACCCATGTGGCAGGTGTGACTGTGTATCTGTGTGTGTGTGTAGGGCAGTGTGACCTGTGCACACCTGTGTGGCGGGTGTGACTGTGAGGTGACTGTGAGTGTGTACGTGTGTGCCTGTGTGCACCGGTGTGCATGCGGCAGGGGGTGACTGCATGTGACCTTGACAGTGCCTGTGCGACCCGGGCTGTGTGACTGTGCATGCGTGTGTGCAAAGATGGTGTCTATGTGGCCTGGTGTGTGTGTGCTTGCCTGTGCGTGTGTGTGTGTACATGGTGTCTGTGTAACTTGGTGAGCTGCTGTGTGTGTTTGTGGGGGAAGCTGATTCTGTGTGTAGGACAGTGTGACCTGTGTGTACCCATGTGGCGGGTGTGACTCTGTGTGTGTGTGTAGGGCAGTGTGACCTCTGCACACCCATGTAGCGGGTGTGATTGTGTGTCCGTCCGTGTGTGTAGGGCGGTGTGACCTGTGCGTACTCACGTGGTGGGTGTGACTGTGTGTCTGTGTGTGTGTGTAGGGCAGTGTGACCTGTGCACACCCGTGTGGCGGGTGTGACTGTGTGTCTGTGTGTGTGTGTGTAGGGCGGTGTGATCTGTGCACACCCGTGTGGCGGGTGTGACTGTGTGTCTCTGTGTGTGTGTGTAGCACAGTGTGACCTGTGCGTACTCGCGTGGCAGGTGTGACTGTGATTGTGTGTATGGAGGGCAGTGTGAGCTGTGCGTACCCGCGTGGCAGGTGTGACTGCATGTGTGTGTAGCACGGTGTGACCTCTGTACACCCGTGTGGCAGGTGTGATTGTGTGTCCGTGTGTGTGTAGCGCGGTGTGACCTGTGCTCACCCGCGTGGCAGGTGTGACTGTGTGTCTGTGTGTGTGTGTCTGTGTGTGTGTGTGTGTAGGGCGGTGTGACCTGTGCACACCCGCGTGGCAGGGGGCCTTGCGCGCCTGTGGTCACCGCGCGGGCAGCGTGTGTGCGCGCGGCCCACGCGCCTCTCCGTG